AAAAAAAAAAAAAAAGAATGCTTGAAAGAATACTAACAATTACGCATTACCAAGTTCCCCCTCATACTTCTCACTTTGCAGATGAAAGAAGTGACTCATAAAGAATAAATCTGTGTTGGAGACAGACCTAGAATACCTTGAACTGTGGAATTACACTCCTTCTACTATACCAAGATGCAAATATTATGGAAATACAATTATATTTGGTTTACTCATTTAATAACATTTGTATTGTACCATTTGTATTTGTATTGTTTCAAGTCTGACCAGTAAGACCATAGGTCCAGCTCTCCTGAAATTCATGGTGTAGTGAAAGAGACACAGATTAGACAAGTAAATAAATATAAAATGACAAATAATGATTACTGTGAAGGAAAAAAAAAAACAGCATAAACTGAGAAAGATTAACCTTGATTCTATTTCGGATTGCATGGTCAGGAAAGATAAGTCAAAGGAACAACACTTTAACATTTACTTTTTTAAAATTTTTTTAAAAGTTTTATTTATTTATTTGTTTGTTTGTTTTGAGAGAGAGAGAGAGAGAGAGAGAAAGCAAGCATGCACGCAGGAGCAGGAAAGGGGCAGAGAGAGAAAGAATTCCAAGTGGGCTCTGTGCTAGCAGCACAGAGCGATGCAGGGCTTGAATTCATGAACTGTGAGATCATGACCTGAGCCAAAAATCAAGAGTCGGACGCTTAACCAACTGAGCCACCCGGGCACCCCCAACATTTTAACATTTATAATAAGATTAGGTGGTTTCAATTCCACAACTCAGATTTATTAGGTCCAAGAAAAATTATGTATCTTTTAACTTAATAATGTGTGAATATTCATTAAGAATCGAGGAATAACTTTGTATTAAGTTCTAAGTTTATAATTCCTAGGGCCAACCAAAAGCATTTCAAGTATAGATTTTGATATGGAATGATTTAAATTCTGCAATGATTTGTGGATCCAACCCTTACTCTCTTTGAAACTTAACAATTTAAGGCCAAGAATACAGAAATATAATTCTAAGATATAAAAAAATGCAAATGATTTATAGACACTTGAACAAGTATGCCTTCAGTGTTTAAGAAGAAAAAAATTAGACTTCGTTTCCCCCACAAAAACATAAAAATATATAATACAAACTTTGTTTCCCAGATTACTTAAAAGCACTACTCAATTATTTCATAATACTATATTTTGAAAAACATAAAGCTATAATAATTCTCAGCCACGAAAATATCAGCTATTTCAAGGTGTCTGAAGTACTTTGAACAAAATTCAATTTCATTCATTTCAAGTTAGAAAATAAAAATAGGGCACTAAACAACTCATGGAAGACAATAACACAAAGAACACTGTTCCTCAATTATAAAAATAAAATGTTAGGTCAAACTAATCCCTAAACACATGTCTTTTTTAAAGTTGTTTCAGTCTAGGTAATCTTTAACTATTGCAAAAGGAATCTTCTACTGGATCAGAAAGCAACATTTATGTTAGTCTTGATTAAAAGCAGAAGAAAATCTTTAAAGTCAGTCATTTAATCATTCATATTTCTAAATATTACAAAATTATCAAGAAGAAGCCATAAAAATTGAGCTTCATATAAATTTAAGAAAAATCTTATAGAAGTTTACATGCATAAAAATTCAAATTTACTTGTATTACCCTCATTGAGTTTGAAAATTTTCCACCAGAATGCCATCTAGGTAACACAGGAAATATAACCTTTATTATTTTGGAGTAAAATTATTAAAATTTTAAATTTCTAACTATCAACAATAGTCAAATTATGGAAAGAGCCCAAATGTGTGCCATATATATATATGTATATATATACATGTATATATATACATATATATATAATGGAATACCACTCAGCCATCAAAAAGAATGAAATCTTGCCATCTGCACAATGTGCATGGAACCAGAATATATTATGCTAAGTAAAATGAGTCAGTCAGAGAAAGACAAATACCATATGATTTTACCCACGTCTGGAATTTAAGAAACAAAACATATGAACATAGGGGAAGAGAAATAAAAATAAAATAAGATAAAAACAGAGAGGGAGGCAAACCATAAGAGACTCTTAACTATAGAGAACAAACTAAGGGTTGCTGGAGGGGAGGTGGGTAGAGGATGGGCTAAATGGGTGATAGGCATTAAGAAGGGTATTTGTGATAAGCTCTGGGTGTTATATAAGTGATAAATCACTTAATTTTATTCCTGAAACCAATTGACACTACATGTTGGCTAACTTGAATTTAAATAAAAACTTGAAATTTAAAAAAAAGAAATTTTAACTTTCTAAATAGAATGCAAATAAACAAATGTCTATAAATAGAAAAGGATTTCCTGCTCTCCAAAGACAAGCTTAAGATAAATAATATTAGATATATTATTATAGTTACTTACATACTTGATATAGGAAAGAACTTATTTAACAAATATTTATTGAGTTCTTTCCCCTATGTACCAAATAACTTAGGGCGCTTGGCTGTGCAGTATGAATTTTACACTCATATAGATATAAAAACTGAGTTCCCAAGTTACAAGCTCTATGACTTCTGGCAAATCATTTAGCTATTTCCATCTCTAAAAAAGGGGGAATAATAATGCCTTTTTGTGGAGTGAACATTATAGATAAGGGACAATATATGAGAATTATGAAGAACAGTTCCTAATACATATTTGGCAGCCATAAAGAAGACAGCATTAACTAATACCTATTTTTTATCCACAATTTCCTTCTGATGAGATTTTTTTCCACTAAAATTGACATTTACTCCTCAGGGTCACTCATTCATTCAAAAAATTTAGTGATAGTCGGGGTATCTGGTGGCTCAGACGGTTAAGCGTCCGACCAGCTCAGGTCATGATCTCATGGTTCGTGAGTTCGAGCCCCACATCGGGCTCTGTGCTGACAGCTCGGAGCCTGGAGCCTGCAGCCTGCTTTGGAGTCTGTGTGTCCCTCTCTTTCTGTTCCTCCCCCCACTCAGGCGCGTGCACTCTCTCTCTCTCTCTCTCAAAAATAAATAAACATTTTTTAAAAATTTACTGATAGTCTATTTCATGCCCAGTATCCTCCAGACTGTGGGCAATGATAACATATACACCCTTAAGGAGAGTTCACCAGGAAAACAAACATGAAAGCAATTATAAAACCATGGAAACTGTCTAAAACACAGATATGGGAGCAAAAGAAGTAATGACTAACTGAGCGCAGAAGGAAAAGAAAAGACAAAAGGAGAAGGAAGGCTAACCGAGAAGAAGTCACTAAAAGAGTAAAATGAAACTTAAGACTAAGCTTGAAGGATGAATACAAATTGCTGCGTAAACAGGGAAAAGAGGAATCTTAATACTTTACATACAGCATAAAGGCCTGACAAAACTTTTCTCGGTGTTTAGATTTAGACACAAAAACAAAGATCAGTTTATAAGAGACTTTAGGACGCCTTTGGTAATCTTTGTTTCTTGATAATGTCTTATCACTAAGGAATTTTGAGCAGGAAAATGGAATGATCATCTTCATAGTTTAGGAAAATAACTGGCAGTACTGAGTAAGTGGGACAGTTAGGCAAATGTGGTTAAAGATAAACCTGAAAACTACTGCAAAGGTTGAGGTAAGAAAACTATAAAAGTCTAAATTAAGACAAAGACATTAGTAATTTAAAAGAAGGGAGATAGGGACTAATTAACAAAACTCATTGAAAGTGCTGATACAGAAAAGAGAAGTCTAAAGATGGCTTCCAATTTTTCACTTAAATTGGTAGTGGTACCATTAACTTAAGAGAATTAATACAGTTAGCCAGTTAATTAGCCAGATAATAAGATGTGGAGTTACAATCAAAGAGTTTGCTTTTGGTCATAACACTGATATTTGACAAAGCTGATGGATGAATAAATGAATGCACAGTTGAATGAACGAACTAATCTCAGTGAAGGTCAGAGCAGTTCTAGGAAAATTAACTTTAATGTTCTCTTTCCATGGTACATCAATATGTACATATAACAGACAAGTGTCTTTTCCATTCAAAAGAGACCAATGTTTGACTTGATATTTTTTTATTTCTGATTTATATTTTAAAAGAAATGGGAGGAAAATTGCAAACTGTGCATGCATACTGATATTTTGTACATCCACTGAGGTCTGCAATTAGCTAAGACTCAAAACTAGATCTAGAAAAAAATACCAAACAAACGAAAAAAAAAAACTGTAATAAGAATTCATAGGAAAATATAACATGATATTTATACAAATATCAATAGTAGCTAACACATATTGAGCACTTACTACATCTTAGGTAATATGCTAATAATTTACTGTGGGCTAAAACGTTACGGAATTTTCACAAGGTCAAACATTTGGTGAGTGGTACAGCTAAGAAAGCAAAAGTTTTAATATAAAGATTTCTTTTAGAAAGGCCAGTTAAACACCTTATCAAAGGATTACAATTTAGCTAGGTCATCTCCTGGAAAAATAAGAAAGAAAAAAAAGAGAGAGAATGCATTTATCTTGAATAATGAAACAGTAAAACAAAGTATTTATGGTTTTCAAGGTTTATGAGCATCTATGTTTTTTTTTAAACATCTATCACTCCCTGGCCCTGTTCCTACCAAGACTCCTTAGAATCAACATATATAGAGCTATTACAAATGGGAATGTATTTCTCATAAGGAAATAGTGTGAAGAGAGAGAGAGAGAGAGAGAGAGAACAAATGGGTTAAATTGCTTTTTATTGGTTAATGACAATTTTATTTAGTTCTTAGCTTCACCCTAATTTTCCTTATTTATACTCTTCAAATCACTGTTATCTAAACTTGTCAGATGAAAAACATCACCTAGAGCATTTGTTAAAAATATATTCCTAACATGCAAATTATAATTCCAAGAATCTGTATTTATAACAAGTTCCCACTGAAATTCAAAACAGTTTGGCACATTTGGCAAACTCCCCTGGGTGGCATCCCAAATCTAATAAATCAGAATTTCTGGAGGAGAGACAATTAAATTTGTATGAAAATAACTGGGATTTGGATCAAGAAATCAAGAACCTCCATTCTAATGTATGAATTTATTTAGAATCCCTGCGTTTTAAGCTATCTTCCAGGTATATATTAATGAATGATTGATACACCGATATTCTTTCTTTTACATAAATTCTTTTTTAAGTTTATTTATTTTGAGATAGAGAGAAAGCATGGGGGGAGAGCAGAGGGAGAGAGAGAGTAAATCCCAAGCAGGCTCCTCACTGTCAGTGCAAAGCCCTAGGTGGGGCTTGAACTCACAAACTGTGAAATCATGATCTGAGCTGAAATCAAGAGTCAGACACTTGACCGAATGAGCCACCCAAGTGCCCCACGCTGATATTCTTTAAGAGAAACAGTTTTACTATTGCTTCAACATAAAGCAAATATTTTTATTGGACTCAGGTAAAATTTCAAATATATATTTGAAAACCCCATCCTAAATAATATTTTCTTCAATATGTGGCAAAACATACACGGGATCATAAGCAAACAAGAAAACAAACAGAAAGAAGAGGAAATGACATTCCCTCTGCCATATGTGGGCTCATCAATCTCTGTTACGGTTGCTCCTGTGGATAAATATTCCTTTGGATAAAAAGTAAAGTGTGCTCTTAAAGAAGGTGGACAATCTCACTGCCAGGTATCCAAAAAAGGCCCTTGAACCTATAAGGGATAACTGGCCTTAAACACGTGGAAATAGGAACTCCTATCCTTCTGTAACTTGTTATTTTAAATTCTGGACTTTCAAATGACTGGATACTCTAACACAAAGATAGAGTCCAATAAATAGCCAAGAACATCCCTCTAGAAAAAAACCCAGGTAATAGTGAATTATATCTTATAAATCTAATTATATAACATAATTGCACATTTTTTATTTTTTATCTTTAGATATTAGAGAAGACTTTTTAAATTAATGTATTTATTTTGAGAGACAGAGAGAGAGAGAGAGAGAGAGAGAGAGAGAGAGCGAGCACGAGCTGGGGAGAAGCAGAGAGACAGGGAGAAAGAGGATCCCAAGCATACTCCACACACTGTGAGCACAGAGCCCAATGTAGGGCTCAAACCCACAAACCACGAGATCATGACCTGAGCCAAAGTTGGATGCTCAACCGACTGAGCCACCCAGGCACCCCTACAGCAGACTTTTAAAAACACGTATCAGGGCACCTGGGTGGCTCTCTATCTCTCTCTTTCTCTCTCTCTCTCTCTTGCTCTCTCAAAAATAAACAAACATTAAAAAAATTTTAAAAAATTCCAAACACATATCAACCTGGCCTCTGAATATCTATATTCACAGGTATATTTCAAGGGCCAAAACATTAACCACAGAGTAGTATCTCCCTTCTTGAAGCCAGCATTTTTGAAGAGCAGAAATTAGTGTAACCTTGCATCTCAGGAAACAAGATTCAGGACTACTAGGATCAGCTTAAACTCCCTCAAGAAAAGTCTCTCTGTATTACCAAATCTGGAGGTTTAACACTTGACCTTTTAAAAGAGCTAATTATGTATAAATCCATAGTGCATGACATGTACATGTATACAAACTACTGTGAAGTCTGAATGTCCAGTCTAAAACCTTGTTCTGTATCTACAGCAAATACAGTTAGAGGGAAGAAGAACAAGAAAAGGAGGAGGAGGAAAAAAGGGAAGAAGAAGGGGAAAGACAGGGGAAGATGAAAGGATGAGCAAAAGAGGAGGAGGAGGTAAAGGAAGACCGAGAGAATTTGGGGGAGAGGAAAAGGGAAGAGGAAGAATAAGACAGAACTGTCACGAAAGAAAAATTTCTGCAAATGTTCTTCAAACATAATTCCTCAGAACTATAATTAAAGTAACAGAAAGCTCATATAAGTTTGCCTTTGAATAATTTGAATAATATAACTTAAATTGTTTAATATTGTTTTCATAAAAGTGCTAAAAATTGAAAAGACACTGCATTATTCCTATATAACATATAGCAAATTTATACATTACATAGATTATTATACAAAATGACATAGCATACAAAATTATATATGCTATACACCAAAATTTTTGGATCAGTATAAACATACAAGAATGCGTCTGTGGTTGGAATTCTAAGTAAGTGTATCTTCCATTAAACCTGTGCAAAACCCTTTCTCAAAAGGTGCAAAATCTCGCTTAATGCTCATGGATAAAGCTCTAGTTCTCTACAATTCCAAAAATTAACTTAGTTTTGCAGGGTGTAATACTGTGCTGAAAGAACAACAAGAAAAGCTGGTAAGCTTTTGATTTTAAATACATATCACATAGTAAGTAACAACCTAAATGACTTGATCTTTGTTGCCGTGACTGACTGTCTTTCCTCTTCCAGCCACATGGAAAAGGTCTTTGGCATACTGCCCTACAAAGAAGCACTGACCACAAGGCCTACGCCTTCTTTCTCATTTTATCAATAGTAATACCTCCTTTATTTTTACACCACTAGAAAATCAACTGCTCAACAGAAATTAGCTGTCCAGATAAATATAACCTACTCCTTCAGGAAACTCTTTTTTGGTTATCAAAGCATTATTTTATTCGTTCATCCAACAAATATTATTGTCAGTTCAAAACTCTGTGGCAGGTAAATAAGGGAATACACAGATGAATCAAATACACAGCTTGATCTCAACAGTTACTAAATTATGCACTTATAAATGAGTAATAAAGGTTTAAAACAAATAATTGTTGTAAAAAATACTGAAATAATATGCTATGAGAGAGATTATATCTGAGAGCAAGGCAAATCAAGGAAAGAGTCCATGGAAATCATGTTACGTAGAATGGAACCTAACGATAACGTGAGATTTGAAGACCTACAGCCACAAGTGACGAGACATGTAAATGTTTTCATGCCAGAGATTGAACAATTGAAAAGGAAAAAAGTGAAACACACATGCTAGCTCAGTTTTGACACAATAAAGGGTATAAGCAAAGAGCTGAAAATAAAACCCAAATCATGAGGGACTAGACTAAAAATGTTAATTGAATAAATTAGTTGTTAGTAAGAAGCAAATGATCGGTTTGAGCAGTGCAATAATATGACCAAGAATATAAATCAGATATTAGGGTGTGAAATCATCTGGGAGAGAAGACAAAGGATCCAAAATAAAGAGAGAACAGTATGAAGAATTCAAGCAGCAGGTAAGGATTTTTTTTTTTTTTTTAAGAAAGATACATTACAGAGATACAAAGTAAAGGACTGGAAAATTGAACTGGTAAAGATCAGAAAGGGGATGAAAAACAAAACTGACTCAAGTCCCCACTATCAGAAAGATGGCAGTTTCTTAATCTAAACAAGGGATTTAGAACATAATGGATATAGGACTGGAGATGCAAATTCGGTGTTAACATATTCTGAAGTTGAGAGGCCAAACAGACATTCCCATGGCAGTATCGTTTGGTCGAGGAGAATATAAGAAAAGAGGCTTGGAGATAAGAGTAAGAGTGGAAAGCTCTCATAAAACTGAATAAAAATTCCCGGAAAATATAAGCTCCACAAAAGCAGGAATGTGGTCTGTTTTGTTCACTGTCACATCTCTAGTGCCTACAACAGTGTCTGGAACTCAGGAAATATTCAGTAAGTATTTACTTTAAGAATGACATAGAATAAATCACAATGAGCTAGCAAGTGAGACACACACTGCAAGAGGTCAAGAGCCTCTTTTTATGTGAAAAGTTAGAAAAGTAAAAAGAAAATGCAGACAAGGGGAAGAGAAAAAAAAAAGCATCATGAGTCATTAGAAAATCAGTAAGAGAATATTACAGAAGTCGTAACAAGTGAATTTTAAGACAGTGGGAATTGTAAATTGTGTGTTCCTCAATAGAAATATTTACTTATACCTACCTTACGTGGTTGAAAATCGTATTTCACACAGTGCTGAAAACCTTTTCCTTTAGACTTCAGTGATGTAACTATTAGACAGTTGCCAACGAAGTGAGCAGAGTAACCAACTCCTTTGCTAGTACGAAAACTGTAAAGAAAATAGAATTGTTTAATATTCTCTGATACAAAGAACCATATATCTAAAAAGCATTATAAAAATAATATAAAACATTACTTTAAAATAAAACTCATTTCAGGGCACCTGGCCCCAAATATAGAATAAACACTCATTTCGTGGCTCAGTCACGCATCCAACTCTTGGTTTCAGCTCTGAGTCATGGTCTCACAGTTTCGTGAGTTAGAGCACCACCTCAGGCTCTGGGCTGACATCACCTAGTCTGCTTGGGATTCTGTCTCTTCTTCTCTCTCTGCCCCTCCCCTGCTCATGCTGTCTATCTCTCAAAAACAAACAAACTTTTTAAAAATCTGCATATAAAATAAAAACTCATTTTCCTATAGAGTCAGAAGGGGTATTACATGTACCAAATAAAGACTAAAACCTTTTAGATTTAAAACTAAAATAAGTAATTTAAATTGAGAAAATAGAAAACTACAAAACCTATTGATATTTCAATGTAAAATATCACAAATACACAAAAACAAACTAATATAAAATCTTACCAAGTAGATTTCATTTACTTTCAAGGACCACCAAAATTAGCAAATACAGAAACCATTTACAAAGCTACTGTTTCAAAAACAACTTGCTCTCTAATTCTATTATATCTTTCAAAATAGCTTACAAATTAAAATTAAAAAAAAAAAAGAAAAAGAGCCAAGTCTGATAAATGATGTAGGTAACTAAACACAGGAATACATTTTTAGTCAAAAGAAGAAAAAAGATGTATCTATGAAATAGTTACCTTCTTCTAAGGGGGCACACCTCCTAGCTGTAAATTGTACTCCTAGCATAAACTGTAAATGCTCTCCAAAATGATGGTCTTATTGAAATAAATGTATGATCTGCCAAATGACCATTCTGAAGTTCAACCCATTTATGTTTGGAGGTTCAGATTTTTGTTTAAAACCCTCTCATTACTACCCATACGTAATCTTTTGTAACAGAGCTGATAAGCTATTAATAGCTCACATTTTTCTATACTCATATTTCTGAACCAATGTACAAAAGCACTTAATTATTCTCATTAACCTATCTGATAGGTACTGTTATCATCCTCAATTTATTAAAGTTGAAAACACCAAAGCACAGGATCAATAAGTAAGTAGTGAAGATTAAGGCCTCAGACAGTCTTATTTCAGAGCACTGCAAATGTTAAATGAGGTAACACTTACATGTAAACACTTACAATGCCTAGTATATACTAAGGCAATCAATGAAAGCTTGATGTTCTCACTACTGTGCATTATTGGCAAACTAAAATTTCCAAGCTATCAGTCCTTACAGGTCAACCTACTGTTGGGTTCATCAACCCATTCTGTTAGTTATCTATCAAATAATTAATTTTATTATTTGATTGTATTTTCTTACATCATAGTTATTATTAACATTTTAAAGCATACCTTAATTATGCTCATAGAACAAGGACAGTAAAAAGGCAAAGTAAATAAAATCTGGAAGTACTCTCTTTTTTTTCCTCCCCCTTATCAGGGATTAGCATGTACACTAACAACCTCACACAACGAATCGGTATTGACTGATGTGTAGTGGACAGAGAAGGTTTGTTACCCTTAACTTTTAAACTGTAATTGGAAAAAAAAGTAGTGAAGCAGGTTGCCTAGAATCAACAGCAAGCAATACATAAATAAAATAAATTTATGTAATTGTATCTTTATAGTTTTAACATATACAAATATAAACACACACACACATCTTCTACTTAATATGTTGCCTTGATACTCTTACGTATTTATAAAACTGAAATACTTAAGACAAAAGTACTAAAATTGAATATATTACTTACCAATAAAGATAAGGTTTATCCTTATCAACATTAATGTTATTTAATGGATCCATACGAAACCAAGTATTTAGGGTGAAGCCATTCTGATAAGGCCACTTTGCAATAGGAGGCAATGCGATTGCCTACAAGGCAATGGAAAAAGATACAAAAGTATCAGTTAAATAAAATGTGACAGTAACTAATTTCAAATATAACCTTTACAGATCAAAAAACAATGAAGGTATAAACATCAGAAAATCATGGACTTATCCCCTGCCAATGGCCTTAGCAACTTCTGTATCACCAGTTTCATCATTCAGTCTACCAGACCCTAAATTAGAACTTAAAGACTGCATTAAACTAAGAGATACAGGGAAGAATTTGAGCCAAGCTGCCCTTCAAGTTTCTAGACCCATTCTTTCCACCAGAAAAAAGACAGGTCGTCCAAGAGATCATTTGTTATTATCTCCATGGTAGCATGAAAGAGCCCTAAATCACATACAGTTGCAAACACTAGTGAACCAAAATACAATGGAAAAAAAAAATCTTACAAGAGAAAACTCTAACCTTGAGTGATAATGAAATAATAATAGTCTTTAGTCTTGCTACCACTCATACCAAACACACACGTGAGAGACTCTAGAATAGCATTTTCCTCAGTTTCATTGTGGACTTCCAATAATTCCATGGATAAATAAGGATCTCTATTATGGGCAATCTCTTCAACAAGACAGTTAGCTATACTGAAAGACATTCTCTTAATTAAATTTAGTATATAACATCTAGAATAAATGCTTTAGGGACCTGAAATCTCTCATTTCTAGCCCTTACTACTATACTAACCAAAGCCTTCTATAAGTGCACATTGCATCACTAGCCTTTTTCTACTCTTTTGAACTAACTAATGCATACACCCTCCCTTAATCAATGCACAAAAGCTAACTTTGTATAGTACTGCCTTTGTGCAACCAGGCACATTTACTTCCAAAGCATTTGTGCCTGATCGTAACACTTATTTCCTTCTAGTCCAATTGTGTTAATGGCATGTCTTTGGGGATACCTTAGTGATTATGGAGTCAAGCAGTCTTTACTCTTCCTCCCTATTTCCTTCTACAACATTCTGGTACCCACAACTGGATGTCCCTCACTGTGCCAAAATCTATATCCCTCACTGTCCCCTAGTCTAACAGACTCCAAAATCTGCATTCCTATTTTTTGTGATTTGCAAAAGAAATAATTCTGATGTGTACATGGAATGCTTTCAGTAAACTCACGAATAGAAAAATTCACTATTCCTAAATTAAGCAGATTCATGAAACATCATAATCATGAAAGACAAATCTAAATAAGTATATCCATAAAGGTCACAGAGCATATAAAATGTCATCTCACATTTGTCATTCACCTTTATGTGAATCACTGTGTACAATTCCATTCCAAATTGCTCATATGAAGGTAGCATAGCTCATAGAAAGGCACCTCCACAGTATAAAATGTACTTTAGAAGGCCTAGTACATATGGTTATTTTAGAGGGAAAGTAAGCAGTGTCATTATTTTAGCGATCAAAAGACTGGTCCAGACAGTCAACAGTGGTCCAGACAGCATGTACTCTCTAGTTACTATCACGCTCATCCAGAAGTAAATGATCAAAAACACTATAATGGTAATAAGGATTTTAAAATCAGCTCCTATCTGAATTTTTCAGCAGTTCAATAGCAGAGGTAACATACCTGGAAATAAGCCAATCTGTTGTTAAAAAACAAAAAAACAAAAAAACACTGCACTTAAAAGTCAGGAAAATTTTAGTTCAAGCTATGACTCTGCTTTTGACCCTTAACAATGTTACACTGTTGAGGCTGTTTCCTCAACAAATGTAACAACAATAATGTCATTTATCTTATATATAGCTTGTATGACTCAAATAAAAAACAGTTCCTTCTTTGCTTCCTCTTCTACAAAGAATATAGTCTTAACTGAAACTACTCTTTATGAAAATGAGTGATGCAAGGAAAACCAAGAAAGAGTAACTGATAAGTGTTAAGTCCATCAACATCTCCTGAATGCGAACAAGTCAAACATACACTACTAACAGCATATAAGCAAAATCTTTTGTGTGTGTGTACATGTATGTGTGTTTACATACAGATAGAAAATATTCATAGATTTCAGGTAAATGGTCGACTGGCTAAAAACAGAATGAGGTGCAACCTTACTGAGGCAATTCAGATAATTTATTAAAACAAAGTTTTAACACTGTTTAGCTGTAAATAAGACAGCAATTGCTCATATTTCTGTCAAAACACCTTGCCCTTCTCTTAACCCTTAAAGTGAGATCTACTAGATGTCAGATCACTAACAATTTTATAAAATGTATTAAAATAGATCTACATATGTAAACAGAATTATTACATCTAAGAAAACTGGTACTTTCTTGCGGACAGTGACAGTTTTTCTCTGTCACATACCACAATGTACGTTTGATATGTGTTCTACCCTAACAATCTGATATGTAAAATTATTAGCTTTCATCTGGAAAAAGATTTTTAACTTTCCTATTTTTGTTTCTCAATTTTTATTTTTCCTATTTTTGTTTCACAATTGTGTTAAGATTGGAAATTGTAACTCTAAAAAAAGGTTAGTAACGAAATATTAAGAGAAAATATGAAATTACAGGAACGGCTGATGAAATGGAAGACTACAAAGATGCTTATAATAAAAACCAAGGAGCAAAAAACATTTACATGATGTTTTTTAACTTATATAGTCCTTAAATGACATATAATTTCATTACAGTCTCATAGTAACACTACTCCATGATAAAGTACTAGTGATTCACATGAAAGTAAGCCAAGAAACATTAAGAGACCAGTCCTCTACAGTAATGAAGTAGAGGATCCGGAAATCAAAACCAGTTCTTCTAGTCAAAACTTATACATATTCTCTACAATCCTACAATGTAGATGAGAACAATGAAATCAAGCAGATTGAGACAGTTCTTTGAAAAGAATAACAAAATGGATAAACCTCCAGCTAGGACTGATCAGGAAAAAACCCCTCCAGTATCAAGAATGAAAGAGGAGATTAAACAGATAAGAAGGGGATATGATGATAAGCTTAGGCCAGTATATTCAACAACTTAGATTAACTGTACAAATTACTTGGAAGACACAAACTATAAAGCTCACTCAAAAGGAAATAGAAAAGCTCCCTGTATCCATTATAAAAATTAAATTCATAGTTTAAAACCTTCCCCAAACAGAACTTCAGACCTAGATGGCTACCATAGTGAATTCCAGCATACATTTAATAAGTAATATGAATTCTACATAAACTTCTTTAAAAAAAAGAAATTAACAGTTCCCATCTCATTTTATAAGAAATTACCCTATCACCAAAAGCAGAGAAAAATATTATAGGAAAGAAAACTATACCCCCAAATCACTCATAAAAATAACTACAAAGTTTCTTAGCAATACCTTAGCAAATCAAATCCAGTATTGTATTAAAAGGTTAAAACATAGTGACCAGGTAGCTTTTATCCCAGGAACACAAAGTTTGGCTTAACAATGAAATGTCAATCATTATATTTTACCACACTAGTAAAGATCAAAATGAAAAACCATACAATTACTTCAATAAAATCAGAAAAAGCATTCAGCAAAATTCAACACTAATATCAACATATTGGCGATTTAAAAACTTCCGTTACATAGGAACAGAAAGGAATTTCCTCTACCTGAAAAAGGACATGTCTTAAAGCCTAATTACTAATACCATACTTAATGGTGAAATACTTAAAGCTTTCCCTACAGCTAGAATGAGCCAAGGATATTACTGTATTAAATACTGCACTAGAGTCCTAGCTAGTACAGTAATGCAACAAAATGAAATAAAAAGGTATACTGATTGTAAGCTAAAAAAATATTAATAATACTGGTTTTATTTACAAAAATGTCTGTAAATAATCTTAAGGCATCTACTAAAAACCTGCTAGGACTAGAAAGTGAATTTAAGCAAGGTCTCAAGATATAAGGTCATTATACAAAAAATAAAATACCAATTGTATTTCTGTATGCTAGCAAAAATCAATATGGATATTTATGGATAAATTTAACAAAAGCTTTTTAAGACATGTGTGCTAAAAACTATAAAACACTGAAAAATCAAAGAAAACTAAAGTAAGAGTTATAATGTGTTTATGAATTGAAAGACTCAATATCTTCTCTCCAATTATTCTACAGATTTAACACAACACAATCTAAATCACAGTAAGCACTTTATAAAATTTGGCAAGTTTATTCACACGCATGTAAATGCTATCTGGAGTAGTCAAAATTATTTTAAAATGAAGAACAAAGTTGGAGTACTTATATACAACCTGATTTCAAGAACTACTTACTATAAAGCTATGAAAATAAAAGACAGAAAATCTGATTTGGGCATAAAAGCTGAAACAGAGGACAAAGGAACCAAACACAGAGTTCAGAAACAGATTTACACAAACATGGCCAGATAGTTTTCAAGAAAGGTGCCAAGAAAATTCGAAGTTAAAGGACTATTTAACAAATGGTTATGAAGAAATTCAATAATCATATGCAAAACAAACAAAACTTTAACTTCCAACCTTCCTCATAGCATATTTTTAAATGTTTATTTATTTATTTTGAAAGAGAAGGCACAAGTTGGGGGGGAGCAGAGAAAGAGGAGAAACCCTCATATTTTAAAAATTCACACAAAAAAGGATCCTAGACCTAAATATAAGAGCTAAAACAAAAGAACTCTCAGTAGAAAGCATAAAAAAAAAAAAAAAAAAAAAAAAAAAAAAAAAAAAAAAAAAAAATGTTGTGACTTTGGTATATACTGATTTCTTAGATTACAAAAGCATATGCCATAAAAGAAAGAAAAGTTTAATTGAACTTCATCAAAATTAAAATCTGTTTAAGAACTACTGGTAAGAAAATAAAAAGAAAAGCCACAGATTGGAAACAATATTTGACAAATACACATCTGAAAAATTAACTTATACCTGAAAATACATAACGAACTCTTAAGATAATAAAACAACCAATTTTTTTAACCAGAGATTTGAACACAAATATGACACAAGAAGATGTAAAAACAGCCAATAAACACATGAAAAAGTGCTCAATATCATCAAACATTAGGGCATACAAAATTAAGCCTCCAATGAGGTACCATTACATAATCATTTAAATGCCTCAAATTAAAAAGATGGACAATGTCCAGGGTGCAGATCAGCTCAGATTCTCATACACTGTTGATGAGAATGCAAAATTTTCCACTATGGAAAACAATCTGCCTGAAAGCAATCTCATGAAATGAAACACGCACTTAGCATAAAACCCAACAATTTCACTCGTATGTTTATTTAAGAGATGAGAAAACATGCCTACAGATCTATGTTCAAATGTTCATAGCAGTTTTATTTACAAGAGTCAAAAACTAAAAACTCAAATGCCCATAAACTAGTGAATGGATAAACTGTAGTATATCCATAAAATGTAACACAAACCAGAATAAAAAGAACAGAATAAACTTCTGGGAAGCTACAACACAGGCAACCTCAAAACCATTATGATAAGTGAAAGAAGCAGGACAGAAAAGATTACATACTGAATGATTTTATTTACATGAAATTCCAGAAAAGGCAAAATCATAAAAACACAAAATAAATCAGAAGTTTCAAGGGACAGGGCTGGGGAGAGGGGACTGGTTTCACACAGATACAAGGAATTGTGGGAAGTGATGGAATTGTTCAAAATCATGACTGTGGTGGTGATTATGCAACTTTACAACTCATCAAACCGTACTTTGAAATAAGTGAATTTTATTGGATGTAAATTATACTTTAACAGAGATGAATTAAAAATAAATAAAACTAAACATACATATTTAAAACTTACCGCAGCACTACAACCAGGGAAATTGAAAAAAGTATCAGGACCATGTCTTTGTGGCATCTGATTAAGAACTGATAACAATTTTACTGCATGTCTTGGCTGAGGAAACAAGAAAAGAAATGTCACTGCGCAAATTTAGCAAAATTACCTAATATATCATGTTAGACACTGGACTGTTTTCTAACTAGAGAGAAATTAATTTTAAATCATTTACTAAACTCTTTAAAGGGAACAGTTTCCATTACAAGTTCCAGTTTATAGCTCTCTAGAGACAAATTGTTGAACATTAAGTATTAATGCACTGATATTGAATACTTTCCCCTCTGACCACAGCTTACCCAGATTCCACTTTCTCCTCGAAGCATGCTGAACAAAAGCTTCAACTCCTTGACAGTGATGCTGTAGCTGGCAAGAACCCCCAACATATCAACTAGAAGATCTTTAAAGGAAAATAAAGTTATTCTGAACTCTAGTCGTGAGCTGCCATCTGTCAAGGTAATATACTTTTTGAAAGAGCAAAAGTTAGCAACTGTCATTTCTACATGTATATTCATCTAATTGTCCTCCAGAACTGCCATTCTAATTAAGAATTTTTAAGTTACCAGATAACTACAAACATGGTATTTGAATTTTAGGATTTTTTCCATCAGCGTCACCATTAAATTAAGTTTCCTTAGCAAATATATAAAATAGATTTTATAAATTCCCAGAATATACACACACATATACATTGACACACACACACACATCGGCTGTATGCAGGGAAAGGTAGACAAAAATATACAAAGGTGCAATGATTTAACATTGTAAATTGATTATTTTCAAATAAAAAAGTGATAGTTGACCATATTTTCTTTTAGAATTATCTATGCTTAATAAAATATATTCTGGAAATATTCCTTGTCCCATTAACAATTGTGAGCACTTACTCCTTGCCTGGCATTATTCCAAGTGGTTTACAATTATTAAGTGCACAAATCCTCACAACAAGCCTATGAGGTAAGTACTAGTATTAGCCCCTTCCTAAAATGAGGAATGTGAGGCATAAATACCCTAATCACATTGCCCAAGAACACACTCTACTAAGTGGTAGGGTCAGGATTAAAACCTAGGCAATATGGCTCCAGGGCCCTCTCTGTTACCTACCAGTCTCTAAAAGTATAACTTAAATGCATTACTAGGGATATCCACTCTGTTCATGTGTTTACGTGCATATGAGAGATACACCAGCTCACCAGATAACAGAAAAATTATACATTTAATTTTCTGGCCTTGATTTCTTTCTCATCTCTAGACATTGTGAGTAGTTCCACTATCAATCGCTCTTTAGAAGAAATTACACATCTAAATAACTATACTTCATTTTCTCAATTTCTAAAGCACTTCCTAAGGATCAAAGATACTATACAAGTTATTACAATCAATACACATACACATTCTAAATAATTCATCATCAATTAATTTAAAAAGTGAGTTAGGATAAACTTAAACAGTTACTGATATATATTATCCAATATCACAATACCTGGAATTTGAGACTTTAAAAAAATTTATTATGTATGTATTTCAAAATAGGAATTTAAGGTGGTTATTTTCATCAATAAATAATTGGCTAATCTTACTCAATGCCACAATAAGTAAGCAATCTTTATGATAAAATTGTGACTACTGATATGCCAACTTTTGAGAAATCTTTTAATACGATGTTTCATTACTCAATAAAAAAGTTTATGGTTACTGCATATTAGCCAGATGATCTCTTTCTAAGCAAAAATTCTAGATAGAAATCAAGCATTTATTAAAACCCCAGTTAATATGAAGCAGTTTTAAGCAATTAGCTGCAATGGCAAATTCATAGATTTCTTAAACATTTACCTATAAATACTTTTCTAAAAAATTAAAATCTTTCTCCCAAACTTTATCTCACCTCATATGTATGTCACAAAAAGTGATCTATTAAATTTTTACTTAATGACATAATTATTAATATTTATTATTTATTATACATATAATCAAGCAGGTCAGTTTAATTTTGTTATTGCAGGTCTTCTTTTCTGGACAGATTTTTTAAAGATAAACAAGTGCTAAGACTATGAAATTCTCTTATCAGTTCAGTATAGATGTTTAAAAACCTTCTGTCATACCTGTACATTAGTAAATGAAAAATGCCTCTTTGAACTTAACATGCTATAAATATTCAGAGTGAGAACTCAGTAATATTTTGTTGGTTATTAGCGCTTCTTTACTATGTTGTCTACATTTTAATTTCTCTACTGAAAAGTAAGGTACAGGTAATTTTCTGATGTTTATTCAATGATTAAAATAACAAAAAGTGAAAGTTTTGTGTTACCAGAATTGCTACCATTGAGAAGCAAAGACAAGAGAATTAAGGAGCTTTTATAATAGAAAAATGACCATATGAACTTCTGCATATGATAGTACTAGTCAAGATTACTATCATCTTGTATCTCAAAGTTCATGAATTGTGCACGAGCAAACTACTATGTATATAATTGTGGCTCATTTTCTAAAGTGCACTTTATAAAGTGGTAGCCACTTTATTTCAAAAACAAACAAACAAAACTTCGGGGATTTAAACCCAGATATGAAGACCCAAAAATTGTATGATGTTCTACACATGTGTATATATAAGCTTATGCAAATAAATTCCTATTAAAGAATGCCGGAATTTACAGAACGGTTTAAAGATGGTATGTATCATCATTAAAAAGATGTTCTAAATTTGAATTTCATTTTTCATCAAGTTAACCATCAGTAACCAATACAGAGAATGTTAAATCACTCTAAATAGAGATAGATGCCACCTTGAAAGCAATTAGAAATGATTGTAATATACTCTAAGAAAAAAAAATTTAATATTGTCTAAATTTAAAAAGCATTCATGTTTAACTTATCCTTCACTCCATTATTTCTTATTTACTGTTTTGTTCTACTAGTATTAAAATTAATTGTGCATAAATCAAAATATTATACAGGATTTTCTGGTGTCTGAGCTACTTTTAAGGATCAGATATGATATTGTGAGGAGTCATACCAGCACTTTTAAGATTATGAAAACCCTTTTACATCAGAAGAAACTTATGCTAAAGATTCATGGCTTAAAAAAAACCAATATTTCAAGCTCTGAACTTATTTTTGGAGAATAATGTGGCTCCGTGACCATATTTCAAAACATTTCTACTGAAGTGCATCTAACAACAAAGGAGAATGAACTTGGAGGGAGGTAAAGGATTGGCAATGAAAATTCATAGATTTCAAAGTTATTTGAAATAACGCATAACAATTCCATGCAATTTTTATGTTCTAGTCTATATCTTTTTAATACAAAATTTCTCTTAAAAAAATTGGACACTTCCTAAAAATTCAACATGCTTATCCCAAGGCTATTAGTACCTCCTATTATAGTTCCACATAGGTCAAACTGAAGAGCACAGAGCTCGAAAAAGTTGAAGTGTTCATTACGCAGAATTGTAGTACATGTTGTAAATTTTCAGTTATGTAAATGTTTAACTAAGTACTATGTAAAAAGGTACTGTTTATTTTTCTGATAGATTTCATAGTATTTATTCCACACTATTGAGATTCTAAAACCTAGAAAAGCAAAATTAGTAATTATGTTTGTCTAATACAAAAGAAAGTATCTTCCATTCTTCAAGTTTTCCCTTAATATACAAGGCAAACTTTCCATACATTTCTATTTATCTATTTTAAATCAAGTTAGCTTCAACAAATCTAATTACCAGTAGAATATAAAGAGAAGTACGTGAATCTTTATAAACATTTAAAGTATATTTTCCTGTCAGATAACCCCATACCTGCTATCATGTCATCTACAGCACTCATTTTCAGCAATACTTGTTCAATTAGCCCAACTTCTGTGCTAGTCTGTAAATTCCGAACACTTTTTCGTAAAATGGCTGTAAACATGCTCCATATTTCTGCTTGACATGTTACATCACAGTGCTCCAAAAGCTCTGTCATGCATGTTATACTCTCAGCATCCTGGATAATAAAGTTCATCTCCAAGTCAAATTCTCCACCAACCAGCTGAAAATGAACAAAAAGAAACAATAACTAATGATAACATGAGAGATCATTTACAACAATAAATTAAAAACAATAAAAGAATTCAACTAGCAGGAGAGCATAGCTACTCTAAAAAATTTCAAGTCTTCTAGTCTAAAACTAATTTTGATAAAAATGTGAAAGCCATAGATAAAGGTGCTGTAAGAATTAAAACTAGCAAAATCTGTTTTTTTTTTTT